TCTCCGACTCAGAACGCCGGAGTAATAGTTTCTAAATTTTCTTTTACTTCATCGCGAGTCTACAGGTCAAAGTTTATTGCACAATTCAAAAGATTATATATTTAATTGGAGTGCAAAAAAAGGAAACCGTATTCAGTCAACCGTTGTGTAAATTTTTAACATTTTTAATAAAATATTTTAGTATCTTTTTTTCATAATTGCACTTGCTTTTAAGCGGAAGGAAATTAAAGTTGTTTACTGCGCTAAGAATTTTGAAGAAACTATAATTTTATATATATATATATATAAATTATATATATTACTACACAAATTTTCTTTTAAAATGTGGTATAGTTTTCCTAAAAATATATGTGCATTTCGATAAACCTCGAGATTCTTAAGAATTTTCTATAGAGTTGTTGTACAGTATAGCTATATTTTTATATATATATATAATAAAAAATTTATACATAAATAAATTCCATATAATAAGATATGTACATAATTCAGAGTATGATAATTACACTGTAACGATGAACGTAATCAGCCGTTTAAGATGCCGCGGAATTTGACCGCATTTGTGTAACAATACGGGAATTAAAGTGCGAAGAAGATGGTGTTAAATTTCCGGCTTTGCTTAATGAGGTAACGGGTCACAAACTTCCAAATTACCTTTTAGAATGGTAACGGAAGTCTCTCACCTCCCTTGGGCGAGATGGGCTTGTCGTGAATTAGCAAAACTATTATTTTTGCCGTTCCACTTTTCGACGATTGAGGCATGGTCCGGAACATCCGCTACATTATGAATTTGCGAATTGAACAAATGAGAAATGTTGGAAAAAAGGAAATTATTGCTATCTTAGACAGAAGAGATATAATAATATTCTTTTCCTCTCTCTCTGAATTGTACCACAAAGGTGGCATTTTTTAGCAAAGTTAACATGAATTTTTTCATAATCAAAATATCAATAGTTTTTGATAAAAAGGATTTGATTAAAAGGAGAGCTAAAATAGGAGAGAGCTAAATAGGAAAGATATGTAATATCAGTTAAAAATTATATCAATAAGAATTATTATAAAAATATTAATGGATAATGTAACGTACACATCATTGAGTTTATCAAAGAACGTTAAGATATCGAAGTAAATTTATAAAGAAACATGAAAAGACTCAGACAGATTGCAATGTTCCGTGCCTTAAATTTATTTATTTACACGTAAATATATTATATATGTATATATGTATATATATTATATATCACTGTCTTTTGTCGCGCTATAACTTTTGACATTTACATATAAATCAGCTATTCTCTTCTATTCTCATCGCTCTCGCTAAAGCGGCCCATATATATTCAGTATCATTGTGCAATATTTTTGTATTCTATAATAAAATTGATTATTGATACCAATATCATATATTTATTATTAATACAATATACTGCATCAATAATTATATACAAGTGCCGCCTAATACAGATTCATAAACATCCAAATCTTCATCAATATTTTCTTCTTCAATATATAACGACACAGTGAAAAAGACAAGAAGAGGTAAATTGTTGGTGAGCCGAGAGCATAAGCAAATTTTTTTTTTATGATTCGATTCGTTCAAAAAGCTGCGATTTTTTTGGCATCAATTTTGATACGATAAAAACGAACCAAGTCTTGTCAATACTGATTAAATAATTGTTCGTGTATATGCCACTGTCGTTTCATCGTTCAATAGTCATTTCATCTCTGTTACTTTCTTCTCTGTTGAATAAAAAGAGCAAAAATTTCAAATATTATTATACCAAACAACATTTCAAATCATAATTGTTATAAGGATATAAATTAATATAACAATTTTATAACGCTACATAACCGATAGAATTTCTGGGATATTTTTTGAAACTCTTTTTGCTTAGAAAAACCAGTGAATGAAAAATATTAAATTATTAAGATTTAAAAAATATAGATATAAGAATATATAACTTCCAAGTTACATATTCTTATAGTTTTAGCGTTATAGAGAATTAACGCATTTGACTCAACATCTCGACTCGATAAAACGATCAAACTTACAAATATTCTTTAGAAACATGTGTTGCATCACATGTTTTTTTCGTTCTTGAGAAGAGAATAGACAAAAAAGTTAATTGTATAATTAAGAATATACTTAATCTTATCTCTAACTGTCCGCGATTAAAACAATAAAATAATTGCTCGTGTGTATGTGTGTAGCTTCATATACAGCAGATTTTCTCAATTTGATTTCTTCTCGCTGCGACGAGAAAGTCATTCGTATTAAATCTTAGGCTATCCCGATAAAAATATAACTCATCATAAAACGGAATTTAATTGTTAATGTCTTTTACAGATGATTCAATATGGATTAAGCCGTGAAGATTCACGCGCTTATATATTTGTATATTATTTACAGTAATTTAAAAATGACGACAGTCACGTTATTTTATTTACTGAGAACGTCTCTGATCTCATCGACATCTCGATGTTAAACCTCTCCTAAATTAAATACGCTTGATCTTTGTAAAAAAAATCTATTTTCTTTTTTATGTAAAAAATAACAAAAATGTAATCCACTTTAATCGTACAAAGAACATACTATTTGTCGAATATTTGTCGTATATTTTTTTTTGTATACCTAAAGATAAAAAACCACTTAGCATTATGTTCGAATCGTAATAATTGTAGCACACTCTATACGAGGGTTAGGTTACCCTTTCGCGAAAAACTCGCTTATAAAAACTTCTTTCAATGCCACATTATGTTCGAAAAAAATTTTAATTGGGACGATTAGAAAAAGATATTTAAGACGATTATTCAAGCCAGAGAATTTGAAAATGTTTAAAATTATAAACGTTATAGAAACATTCTCTACAAATTGAGATAATCGATATTTCTTAAATGCGGCATTAGAAAAAAGCATTGCTTTGGTCATGCACTTGCTATATGGAAACAACCTATGGCCTCTGTTGGTGTTTGTTAAAACAGATTTTAATAAAAAGTATGTCCCGGCTGCCACAAACTCACTTTCGCATCAACAAATCTTAATATGGACTAAAAAAGTTTCTCCACACATACAGATCATATAAATACAATATTAAAAATGCAAATGTGTGTCATCTCGAAAGTCTCACAATCAATCCATAAAAAATATTTACTATATACAAATTGCCGTTTCCTCGCTCGGCATTTATCCTCTTGTAAACGATAAACCATGCTTGTAATCTACGAGTTTCTTTAAACTCGTATGATACAACGACCTCTTTAACTACTATGGCAAGTAGTCACTTCGACTATTTCGTGATGTACACCATATCATACGAATGGTACGAATAGCTCTCGTGTAAGCGTCCTAAACAGTTTGTTAGCTCAATAGCCATTAACTATAATAGTTCGATGACGATTAATGTTAACGCATGTTTAGAAACGCTTTTACGAAAATTTTCTTCTCCATCATAAAGCTTGACCTATATTCAAAATTATCATATTAATAGTGTCTTGGCACATCGTCTTTCCTAGTAAATATCCTGTTTATACATATATGTGGTGTTCATGCAATTACGAGCGGCTCGTCATCTGAAAAACCTCGGATTACAGGACTGTCTTCTTCTTCTGTAAGAAAAAAAAAGAAAACAATCATTAATTTCTTTTTGTATTCTTTTTAACTATTTTTATCCTATTTCATAAACGCAATAATACTTACCCAAGCCATCTGTCGTACCAGGAAAAGTGGCTTGTCCCCGCCTCGTATCATAATGACTATTGGCGAATTGCGTAAAGCTGTTAGACAGCCTCCTATGTCGAACGATGAAATACGCGAGCGCAGCACCGAGCGCTATGACGATCAAACAGATCGGTATAGCGAGAGATAATATGCTCGATGTACTCATTATCACCGGGAGCTGTGACCCTGCTTTAAATGGAAAAACAAGACACGTTATTAAGGACTTTTCTCAGTTTCAGAGAGAGAAATATTAAAAACATCTCACCTGAAATCTGTGTGCTCCAAGTTTCGCTAAGTGGACTTTGGTATCCTTCGTTTGTAACTAAACGTGCAGCGAAAGTATAAATCGTATCTGTTTTAACATCCTTATAGCGATAAGGTGGTTCTTTGACTGAAAATACTTGGGCAGTCGATTCATTTATTGTTCTCGAACCCTCGGCCATCAAAATTTCGTAATGTCGATTGGCGTCATTCCGGATATTCTCCGGCAAATCCGGTTCTTCCCAATAAATCAAATATTCTTTATTATCATGAAAGACAGTAAATTGATGAGGCGGTTTGATCGGTGGCGCCATAAAGATGAACGGTTGCGTGGATATGGCGTTTTCGACATCGGTAGCTATTGTAATACTATATTTTCCGCCGTACTTGATGGAATGGAACGTGTGCTTCATAATAGTTTCGTTAGTCGGTGGCAATGTCACAACTATTTGCTTGTTGAGAATCATCTCCGTAACAGAAATCTATAAGCAAGATACGAGATTGATGAATATTCTCATTAAATTAAAAAGATATACATCTAAAAACTTTTTTTCAATAAAAAAGAAAGTAAAACTCTTTATAAATTGTGACTTTCTAAAAGTTGTCCATATTATTATTTCCTTGAGAAAACGTTCTGCATTACTGGTAATTAACTTACCGTGTAACTGATAGGTTCGTCAATCGTTGGACAACTAGCGCTCCATGATACGATTATACTATCGTTTTTGTCTGGCGACGGCGTTACTCGCAACCTCTTTGGAGGTGCACGTTTATTGAAGTGCGTCGTAACTGTAATCGGTTGATTTAAAGGACCTGCTCCATAATCCCCAATAACACCAACGGCAAAGACATATGATTCACACGCTTCCAGATCCTTGATCGTAGCCGTAAGATTGGTGGTAACGAGTTTGTAACCTAAGATATATTCCTCGTCAGAAAAATAGGCGATAAAACGATATCAAACAACAATAAAAAGATATTAATTACTCCATTCAAGTTATCGAAACAATCCTCAGGTAAAGAAAATCGCAGATATAAATGATTCTCTCACCTTTGAAGAAATCCAACATATTGGTAGCATAGTGAATGGCATATTGCCATTTGATCTTCCTATTGCTCTTGGGTGGATCCCAAGTAAGCTTCACGGTTGTTCTCTGAGACTTCACCAATTGCGCATCGAGCTTCATTATCGTCGGCAATGCGGTGCCGTTTGTCGTTGCTGTTACCATGGCAACCTTACCGACGTAGTTTTTCTTCATCGCGCCGACCTCGAAGGTATACTTAGTGCCTGGTGCCAGTTTCTTGACTTCCATCAAATTTTCCATGGTCGAAACGGTTTGCAAGATCGGATACGCCGGCGGCGCTCGGGGAGTGATGTGATATCCATCCACGTCTTTCATCTTCTTCCACGTCAAAGTGACGGAGTGATTCGTCGTGGCTATCACACGAAGATCCTCGATGTCATCGATATTGGCGGAGCCATCGAAAGTCAATGTAGCAACCTGCGATGAGGCTGATAGATACAGCCGGTTTCTCGCTACAATCCAGAAAGAATAATTCTTGCCCGCCTCGAATGCCATATCGATGATCGCGGAAGTCTTCTGCCGGGAAAATTCCATCGGCGGTATCGGCGGTGTGATGTAGCCCTGATAACCGATAATAAGACCGTTTGCTTGTAACGGTGGTCTCCAGGAAACCTCCACACGAGTACCGTTCTTTTGCGTAACCGTCACATTCCAAGGCTCAGATGGCACACCCTCGCCGGTCATCACTACCAAATACTTTGCCGGTGGGAATACAGTAGCCTGGCCCTTCACTTTTACATAGACTGTCAGATTGTATTTGGTGAACGGCTGGAGGTTGTTGAATTGGTATTCCGTATCTTCAATCCATTCAGTGGCGTTGGTCCATGCGGCACCTGGTGTCGCTCGCGCATACGACGGCAGAAACTCAAACGTTACATTTGACGGTATCGGCATCCACCAGAAAAGGAAGAGACTTGTATCATTGATGGAACGCTCATCCACACCCATCACCAGTACCTGATACACGCGCGAGCCATTTTTCTCGCAGTTATTCTCATCAAAGCCATCGAAACAGTCCTGATTGCCATCGCAGTAGGACGCCAATGGGAAACAACGGGTCTCATCACATGGGAAAAGACCGACATAGCAGGATGGTGTGGCAGGTGGATTCGCTTCGTGATCCGTATGACAACCGAGTTCGTCGCTACCATCCGGACATTCCTCAATGCCATTACAAATACTCGATAGCGGTACGCATGAACCGTCTTGACGGCACATAAACTGATCATTCTCGCGACAAGACGCATGTGTCTGATCACAGTGTTGCTCGTCCTCGCCAGACGGACAGTCCTTCGAGCCGTCGCACACCCATGCGTTTTCAATGCATTCACCGTTATAGCACTGGAACTGGTGTTCGCGACAGACACGCGGCTGCTGTGTCGTGTATACCGCTGACGTTGGTTCCAATGCGCCATCTCCATTGTTGGCGCAGCCTATTTCGTCGGAATCGTCGCCACAGTCGTCGACGCTATCGCATTTCCACCAGTATGGCACGCACTTCCTATTATTGCACATAAACATCCAATCATTACAGGAATTCGTTGGCAAGATTGGACTTATAGTTATTGGCGGTGGTGGCTTAATAGTGCTGGTGCAATTCATCTCATCGGAACCGTCGACGCAATCCTTGTCGCCATCACACGCCCATGATTTGTATATGCAGCGATGCCCGCTTTCTTTAGTGTTGTTGCACGTGAACTGCCAGGACTCGCACACCATGTTGTTGCAATCCGCCTCGTCGAGACCTTCTTCGCAATCTGGTTCACCGTCGCATTTCCAAGAGGTGGGTATGCACGTCTGTTCGTTCTTGCAAGCAATCTCGTCGGACCGGCATGTACTCGGTTCAACATTTTTGGAACAATCCTGTTCATCTGAGCCGTCTCGACAATCATCTTCGCCATCGCAACGCCAACGATGCGATATACAGCGGCCGTTGGCACATTTAAACTGCGTTTCCGTGCAATTAGTATACGTACAATTCATCTCGTCCTTGCCGTCTTTGCAATCACGATCCAGATCGCATACCCAATATTTAGGTATGCATTTGTTATCATCGCATTCGAAATTATTTGGGCTACATGTGGCGCGGTTGCAGTGGATCTCGTCTGAGTTATCGCCGCAGTCGTTGTCGCCGTCGCATTTCCAGAATTCAGGGATACACACGTTATTATTGCAAGCAAACTGATTAGATGAACAAGTGCTAGCAATGCGTGGACACGTCGAGTTGGGAAACGGCTTGATACCATTCGGACACAGACACTTGCCATCAGTCATCACCATGCCGTCCGGACAGAGACAAACGTGACTGTTGTTCGGCGCGCCTAGACAGATGTGTGAGCACGTGTTGTTTGTCGCACATTCATTTGAACCGACCTGCATACTATGTGCGAAGATCTTCAGATCCATCAGACCAGCGATCTGGAAACCGACTATCGTGGTGATTCCAACCCCATGATCCTTATTGGCAACAAATATCATCGACTGTTTCCAATCGTCCCAATACATGTTGTCTTTGAAAACAGCGACTGCAAACGGATGCGAGACGCGGACATCATTAGCGATGATCTTTTTAAATCTTTTCCCCTCAAAGTCTGAGGAAGCTATGTAATCCGCTCGAGCATCCACCCAGTAGATACGTTCGGCAATATGATCGATCGTTATTCCGTTGGGCCATTCAACGGTGGGTTTAACAAATAATCGTTTGACATCTGTACCATCCAAGTTGGCTCGGGAAACCGAGGCATTACCCGGTGCCCAATCGGTCCAAAACATGTATCCGTTCATAGGGTGAACCGCAATACCTCGTGGCTTCTGCAGATTGTTCGGTCCCAATATCGTCCTGCGCATTCTGCCCATAGTCGATACGTCCGTTCGGATTGTTTGTATTCTCATCTTGACACCATCTACAAAGTAAAGAACGTTAGATACCCAATCGAAGGCCATTCCCTCAATGGAACTCAGATCATTTTCGACGAGAATCTCAGGAGAGCTAGTGCCATCCTTTAGGCATTGTCTGCCAATTGTGTCATTTACAATATCTGCCCAATATAAGCAATTGTTTTTCATATCAAATTCGATCGCGATGACGTTTTTTAAATCATGCACGGGCAACATCTCCATTTTGTCTTCCACCAAGTCAATTCGCGTAATGTGCTCTCGCTGAGCTACTAATAGAAATTCCGGTCTTTCATCCATAGGACATGGGATCTCGTCAGGTTCGAAGTTTCTCGCAAGACCGCCAGAACATTCGTCATCCGATATTTTCACGTAGCCTTTCGTGCGATTGTAAAACTCGCCAGATTGGCATGTGGTTGGTATAGCGTAAGGATCATAATCAGCGACAGATTTGTTGCGGATACAATGATACGGATTTCCGACGCGCATGAAACCATAATCGCATTGATAATCGTTGGCGTCGCATTGACAGATCTCCAATCTCACCGGTCGATCGTAATTCACACCCTGGTAACAATTGGCGCGTGCTGCTCGTCTCTGATAGGTTTCCTTACGTCCTAGCACACAAGCCATGACCGGTTGATCGGTGCTCGATGGAGACCAAAATTTGTAATCGTCCTCCGTGCACTCTCTCTCGAATACATTTCGTAAATCAACTTTGATAATAAGCCATTGATGCTGCCCACTGTCTGATCCGAACATGGTAAATACTGTAGTGTTTTCTCCAGGCTCCGTCATAAGACCGTAGACACGTAACATCTTCTCATTAAACTCGTATGTCTGCCATGTTTCACCTTCGTTCGTTGAGTACGAGATATCTCTGGTCTCTCCACGGGATTTGAAATACTTAACCGCCACCAACAAACCTCCGTGATCGCCCATGTTGAAAAAGTAATAATCCTTCAACACTTGTTTCCACGTGAGGCCCGCGTCTCTAGACACATAAAGTGCGGGATGACCTTTTAAGTTAGGTCCTATCACGCCGGTGGCCATTATTATTCCAGGCGCCGATTTCGAGCTCATAATAGTAACGGATCTTGTTACCGGATACAATTGACTGAATCGCTGACTCAAATGTAACGAGCACTCTTTTGAACAGTGAATATAAAAGCCTTCGTGATTTGTCGCTGGTGGCTTAATACTGTTCCAAGTGACACCATGATCAAAAGTAATTAATGACTCTAAATTTTCCGGTCCAATCGAGCTTGATTTGGGAGAACCTTTGACCCGTGATGCTATATATATACCTCGAAGACCTTCAACCTTATACAGATCCGTGAATGCTTCATCAGCCACATCACTGTATACATAAATTTGCATGAACTCAATAGATAAATCAAAAAAGTTTAAAAGAAAAGTTAAGAGAATTCTTAAAATTTATAAACTTATAAACTTATTTTAACAAGTTTCATAATTTTCATAAAAATTATAAAAGTTTGCACAACGTATAATTTTATCTTCATAAAATGATTTTCTGTTGTATTTTTTTAGTACTTACTTTAACCAGCTATCCTTCCAAGTGCTATTGGGGAAGAACGTAAGGATGCTCTCCAAGGACAGTGTAAATATGGCTTTCTCATGATCTATAACTTCCGATACATAAAGATTGATCATAGTTTCACTATGTGACACCGCGATAAAAACTCGGTTGAAGGACACGTCTACAATATGATAATCTTTGCAGTCAAGTTCCGTATTAAAATGCGCCGGAACAAAGGACTGATTTTTGTAAGAGACATAGAGATCCAGATGTTCCGATGTTCCATTCTATTAAAAGGACAAAAGCAACGATCAATGAAAACAATAAAATCCTGAATCATACGAGAGATTCTATATACGTACATATGTACATATAGCATAATACTTGCCTTCGAATTCTTCATAGTGGCAAACATGTAGTCACCTCTGATTTGAAAGTCTTCAACATTTTGAATAACAACGGTAAATTCCTTTCGTAGAGACATTCTCATTCGCAATGGATTACTCCCTCTCTGATACCAAGGCAAATTCCGCAGATCCAATTTCAAGACCGTATTCAATCCGGAAGGCTCTGTGCGTTCAACCAATAGAACACGATAAGGGGACCAAAAGAAAGCCTTTACAAATTGATGAATCGGCACCCAGAGTAATCCACGATCGGTCGATAACCACAACTGAAATCGAAACGTTCCGAGGTCAGAAAAGACAACTTTTGATCAATTTATTCTTTCGAGAGTAAGATAACAATAACGATAGGGTATAAATTCAGGATTTAAATAATTATCAAATAATAATAAGCCTTATACCTTCCGCGCTGGATCGACTTTGTCCAATGCGACGAGTACCCGCGGATCTAATTCATAAAACGAGACTTCGCTCGGATGAAACGGCACTGGGACCCTCTGGATAGTTAGGCCGTTGTTATACGTTATGAAGATTAAATTATTGAAACTGTCGACGAAGACGCACTGCAAAAGAAGGGAACGCTCTTTAAACAATGGAGTTGGCGACATATCGGAAAACATGAGAGTCACTTATCTCGCACGAGGCATTTTCGTAAAACGGAAACTCACATGTTGGTAGTACTTAGGGTGATTGGTGAATTTGTCTACAACCGCATATGGAGCGTTCGGGTCGGACGAAACCCTGAATTGTTCAGTCTTATTCTCGAACGTGTCGCCGTAATCGTAACTGATGTACACAGCGCTAGGATGGGTCGGGGAAGAGAATCTACCTCCTTGGAAACGCACCACGGGCGTGCTATCTCTCGCCAGACATATTATTACATTGGAACCCTCCCCGACCCAATGTACCATCAATTGCTGATGCGAATCATTTAAAGCGTTCACCTGCAAGAAGCAAAGTTGTTTTCTTCATTCACAGAAAAAAATTTCGTACAGAGATAAACTTATATAACGTGGAAATAAAACAAAATTTATTATACGCGAGGTCGCACGGAATGCACGGAAGATAAGAGATAACAGATAAGACTCCGATAAAAAAAAAAAAAGAGAAAAAAAAATAAATAATAATGAGAAATTGAACATTCAAAACAATTCTTCGAATGTAATTCTAGATTTTTTAGTAGATACATTGCGCATATTTGCTAACGCGTGTAATCCGACATCCTCATTAAACGTAATCATAGCTAAATGGATATGTAATACTAAATGGATAATGAGAGAGATGAATCATTCGATATATTTATTCGTGGAAAATGCTCCCATCGTGTATCAGTTTCCGTTCAATATCGCGTTACTTTGGTCACGTTTCAATGTCACGGGACAAACATGTAAATTCCCGGAACGTAAGAGATAACAGAAGACACCTACGCGTATAATTCAGAAATGCAAAACGGAGAATTATATAATTAGACAATAAATGAGAGAAAAATTTCAGGATTCAAATTGAAGGTCAAATTGAAAGTGAAAGTAAAAACTGCCCGATTCCTTCTCTCTGTAAAATTAAGCAAAAAAATCGAACGCAAAACGAGTTTAAAGGACCCTGAAAAATTAAGTGTCTGCTAAAATAATTGGCGCGTAATAAATATGCCTTGCGGAAACATGATAAAAATTCTAATTAATAATTAAAATAAATTAATAGTTAATATCAGAATATAGAGAAGAAAATGAAAGATATAATCGGTAAATTATACAATCAGTTCGGCGTAGCAGAAACAAAGGAAATGGGGAGAAATGTAATATTATGATTCATCGAGCGCATAGCTCGGAGGAAGGGGGGGGTAAGGGGAGAGCTCTTTAGGTAGCCTCTTATCTCCTCAATCAAATGACAAACTGCGCTTCCTTTGTTATCGCGAAAATAAGTAGTCAAGTGCATGCAGACGTCCATTATTTTCATGCGTGTAACATGCATGACTAAGCAGACGATATGACGTAAGGATATAGAGAATGTAAGAAAAAAAAGGGGGAAAACGTCGCAAATGTTGTCCGTGAAAATCCCCGTAATGTTCGCCGAAATTGTCAAAAGTTGGCGCGGCATGCTGTCGTCGATGGATCGGCTTGTTTATGAAATTCCAGACGGCGCGAAAAGCTCGCGGAGATGTTTTTTCGGAAAAAGGAAGGAAAAACGGAAGAAAGATATATGGGACGGTTAGTGACCTCTTAACGTATCTTAAC